GTCACTTTGCCAGAATTGGAGTCAAAGATTGTTTTGGTTTGGGTTTTTTCTGGTCGTTTGTGTGTGTGCACCGAGCCGTAAAATTATTAAGGCGTTTGCCCATTAAACTGACTTTTAAATAGTTTGGTAGAATTTATGTCAAAGTCGGGATTACATACTTTTTCTGATTTGATACCAGTTTAATACAGATAATGAAACAATAACAGACAAAAAGAAACTCAAAGAAAAGGCAAGAAAACCCCCCAAAAACCCAAAAACAAAAGTAACAATCAGTCAAACAAACAAACAAACGAACAAACGAACAAACAAACAAAAACAAAAGCAACAATCAGTCAAACAAACAAACAAACAAACAAACAAAAACAACAATCAGCCAAACAAACAAACAAACTCGTTTGCTTTTAAAGTTCCGACAGTACGTCCAAAAAACTAGTCACCTGATTGATCCACGTGACAATTTGCTACCTCAAAATTTACAAAGTTTTATCTGGTCGGTACCTAGTTTTGAGAAATTTAAGTTAAAGATTTTGAGTTCGACAACATGTCAAGCCTTTTGATTGCAATCCTTTTAATATCTTGACTACGACTCCGAATAATATTACGATTTTGATACAACAGATTAAACATTTGGTTTTTGATCTCGTGGTTTTAGTAACTCAAAACAGCCAAACATTTCAAATAAGACTTGTAATTATGAAGTAGCGAATTGTTGCCCTCAGAAGAAGCAAACATTTTTCCTCCCAAGAGAAGTGTGCGGCAGTGCGGAAGCTGTTGGTGTGTTTGTTTGACTAAGCCCAAAACGGTTTCAAACAAGGAACATCTCTACAGCCTTTCCTCCAAGCCTATTGGTCTGTGGCGGACGCCATGACTTTTGGCTTTTAACCAATCACGAGAAATACTCCGTTCTGAGTTGTAGCCTCTTTAACTTCTTTGCTTTCAATGGCAGCGCTAGAATTCAAACACTGCTTGTGTTTTCAATAGGGCATGACCTTCAAAAGTTGGTGGTAAATAGTGCATGACCTCCAATAGGTTTAAAAAAAAAATTAAATGTATTTTGTCCCTAGTCTTGATTTATTGTATGAATAGAATGTGTTAATATAGCGGTTTCTGTTGAGTTGGTTTGTTCAGAATAACAAAAAGAGGCCACGTTTAAAAAAAAATATTTATAATACGTTTTGTAATTATTATTTTGATGAATTACATCGATGATGATGATGATGATGATGATGATGATGATGATGATGATGATGATGATGATGATGATGATGATGATGATGATGATGATGATGATGAGATTTTTTTGTTTCCTTAATGGGCCTGGCGGACTCCACGAAGGAATCTTCGAGCGAGAGCGAGGCTCTTTTTTGGCGGCATTGTCTATATACTTAGAGGCACCTCCACTCGCCCAAATAACTCCATTCGAATTACCCTTGTTCTTGGACATTCAAACATCTGTTTGACATCCTCTTTTTCATGGCTGCATCTTCGGCAACGTTGACTGAGCTCTTAATTTACAAAGTTCTGATACCATTGTGATGATGGTGATGATGATGATGATGATGATGATGATGATGATGATGATGATGATGATGATGATGATGGTGATGATGATGATGATGATGATGATGATGATCATGATGATGATGGTGATGGTGATGATGATGATGATGACTCAATATTGAGGATTACAATGTGGATAAATCTTGGTCTTAGTTTAAATCTTCACTTGTTGCCTACACTCCAAAAGTTCGTAGTCAATTGGGCATGACCTCCAATAATTCGGGGCTACCTAAACGGAAACTGGCAAGGGTTAATTTATAACCAAATGTTCATATTATGTACGTTTGAGAGGGGAAAAATGCAGGCATATATAGCCATTACCCGGATGTGATACTTAACTAGAATCCGTCAACTCGGTCAACCCTTTTGATTTCTCTGATGTTGCTAAATACATAATATATGTATATACAATTTGACTGCTCATTGTAAGACTTCACCGTACATCACTTTTCAAAAAGGGCGTTTAGCGAAGTCTCGCTCTAATTAAGCTGTCGAAATACACTTCCATTTTGGCTCGCCGTCAAGCGCCAGCGACTCTTACATGCACATCCGCTTATAATAATAATAATAAATAGTATTTGTATAGCGCAGGTCCCCACTCGAAAGCAAACTCTATGCGCTTTACACTATATTATTGCCCAGCAGACCATAGAACACTCAGAAACATTCTCAGCTTCCCAGGAAGCATACAGTGCAAGCAGCTGATTAAGCGCTCGAACATTACCAAACTGACAATGTCTTTCACTGTCTATAGCTGGGTACCCATTCCCACCTGGGTGAAGTGAGGAAAATTCGTGTAAAGTGCCTTTCCCAAGGACACAACGTCGGGCCCGCGGCTCGAACCCCCGAACCCGCAACCTCACGATTGCGTGTCCGGCAGCCTAACCACTATTCATCTGTCGGACAAACATGCACACTGTTTACTGGATAAAAATGAACACTTTACTTGTGCAACCACGCCTTCTATTTAATGCAGCTTCAAAAACACTCCTTTATGAAAGGGGAACTTCGCTTCAGTTACTAAGCGACCTGTTGCACAACGCGACCAATCTTTGGGGCCTCTTACGGCACCGTTTGTATCCTGATCGCACACACTCTTCCTAGCGTGACATAATTTGCATATTATACTTTAGCGGCAAATGTGTTTTTATTAAACATAAAATATCAACGTTAGCACACGAGATGGTCTCGGTTTCATCAAATAGAGGAAAAAGGGGTGGGAGTGGAAGGGTGCTCTATGGAATATGTTCTTTTGCACCTTAGAACACCAAGTGCATTGGGAAAAAATATCTTTATCTCTGGTAACTTAACACCCGCCCCCCACCCCCTCCCCAAAGCACACAAAAGCCTTACACAGAGGACAGTAGGCGGGCTACATACATTATGAATAATACCAAATGTATTATATTATAAAGCGAATGCGTTACATTTCGTAAAACTTCCACATAAAAACTTCACCCACCAGTCTTAAGACTTCGTGTGACCTTTCTTCCAATTGTCACAAGCCTGTTATACTGCGTCTCATGCATCTTTTAATGTCCCACTTAGCAAAAACTAGATATCGTTGTGAAGATCAAAGACTCATTCGGGTAGGTAGGGTGGAAATGAGGGCGAGGCGTGTGTGTGTGTATGTATGTGGG